GCTTTTCCTCAGACTGAGGCAGGGGCCTCGGGAAGGTTTGCAGGGAGAATTTCAACTTGAAATTCTTGTAGACCTGCAGGAACAGGAATGGGGAACCAGGGAAAGCCTGGAATGACGATCCTGGCTGGGGCCAGGCTGGTAGCATGAGACATGGTCCCACCTCTATACCTCACGGCCCTGGAGTTAAGGGCAGTGCTTGGCCTGTGGGAGCCCTGCCCTGATGAGGCAGGGCAAAAATGTTACAAAAAAGGGACTTCAACAAGACAATGAGGAGGATGTCCACGTCCAAGTTGCAGAGACCGCTGATTACCAGGTCAGATGGCAAAAGGCACCTTGCAGCTGTGATGAAAGGAAGGCTTTTGCCATAGGGAGGGAAATGATCCTGGTTACCTGGGGGAACCCACTGTCACCACAATGAGCCTGGCGGGAAGCAGGAAGGTAAAAGGCCAGAGGACACAGGTGTAGAACACAGAGATTGCAGTGAGGCACTCTGAAGATGGATGAAGGGGCCATGAGCCAAGGATTGCGAGCGGCCTGATACTAGAGGCAGGAAAGGGCTGGCAGCAGGGGCCAGGAAGGGGCTCTGGTCCTTAGGTGGGGAGCAAAGGGAAACTGCCCACAGAGAGGACAGTCGGAACTGTTCTTGCAAAGACTCAGGAGCTAGGCCAAAGTTATACTGTCCCTGGGCCTCCGGGCAGGGATGGCCTGTACCAAGTAAACAGACCAGCCTTGGAGACGCCATCAGGAGACTGGGTAAAAGGGATGTTAAAGACAAACTGGGTGACGAAGCTGAGGTTATGAGTGGCACAGGTGGACGCCTACAGTGGAGCCTTAGGGACAAGTACATGCAGGCAGCTACGCAAGAGGGGCAGGGGACAGAGAGCTCACAGGCAGGAACCCACGAAGGGTCCTACCTAAGGAACCCACTCACCCAGAGAGAAGTTGTTAACCAGCACCCCACAGCGCAGGAGGCAAACCCAGCTCCCCTGAAGACCAAGCCTTTCTCCCGTACGGTGGGTGGGTGACTGACAAGAATGTATCACATATCTTGCCACTTCCTCACTCAAGGGAAGGCACAAGCCCAGTCCAAGGGTGAAGCCAGGACACGTCACAAGCCAGCAGCCTTGGAAACCCAGGTGGGTGTGCTAAGCCTTCCTGCCAACCCTTCCCTCCATTCTTACGTTTCAAAACCAGAACCAAACCCAGTGCTTGCCAAGTGGTGCCAACTCAATTTGCTAAGGGCAAGCTTGCACTGAGGTGCCTTCCCGAGAGCAGGGATGACCCAAAAGAGAGAAACAAGATGTGGGGAAGGGAGGCGAGGGGAGGAAGGAGCGACTTACACATCTTCAGCTCAGTCTCCACTTCCTGTTGTCGCCGCTCAATCTTTTCCCGCCTCTGCTCAGATAAAGGGGAGGATGGAAGAGTGAATGCACACAGAAGTGTCCCGAGTCCAGGACAGTCCGCAGGAGGTGACCAAAGGGGGACAAGGCCTGGAAGCACCAATCATGCAGCGTACCTTCCTCTCCATACGTTCCTCCCGGGTTTCCGCTCGAGTTGGGGGAGGGGCATCTCGGGGGTCCTGCGAATAAGAGGCGACAGGGTGGGAAGGACTGGGGAAAACAGCAAGGGACACCCTCCTACACCAACAAGCAGGGGCAGCTTGAGAGCCATAAGGGAGGTATGGAGTGGCAAAGAGCCTGCAGCCCTGACAAGGCTTGCCATCGCTGTCCAGGACAATAAAGGCACAAACTCAAGGTATTGAGACTAAGGGATTTCTACGGCAACCTGCCTATTACACCCAATAATATAAACTTAAAAAAATTTTTGAATGTATGCCCTGCTTCAAAGAGAACTTACTAGATATGGAGTAGAAGGGGAAAAAAAGTGGATAGTAAGGATAGTGACAATGGCTGCAGTAAGATGATGAAGGTACTGTATGAGCTCCCAGTAAAATGATTTAACAAGAAAAAAAAGAGGTGGATGTGGCTACTATCAGCAAAAGGGTGCCCCGGCATCACGAGTTGTGCTGCTGCTAACCGCAAACAAAACCAGCAGTTCAAAACCACCAGTCCCTTCATGAGAGCCACATGGGACTTTCTACTCCTGTTAAGAGATACAGTCTGAGAAATCCCCGGGGGCGGTTCTGCCATGTCCTAGAGGGTCACCAGGAGTTGAACTGAATGGCAGAGAGGTTGCTTTTGAACACGCATGCGAAAGGCTGTAAAGGCAGGATTCATCCTACTACCAACAAAAATATGTAATTAAGCTACCGGAAAAGTGTCAATAACTCCACAGTATTTGCCAAATGCACCAATCTGCTGCGGGTTGGAAATAACCAAGCCCCAACATTGGCTACCTACGGAAAGCAGCAGTTGCTTCACATAGACACCCCCCCCCTCCCAAGACAGAACAGGGTTGGCCCCTTTAAGCTTCCGAGGCTGCAAAACTTTAGGGGGGCGAGGCAGCCTCATCTGTCTACAGAGCAGCAGCTGATGGGTTTGAATTGCTGACCTCCAGGTTACCATTTGCCACAACCCCCACTCATCACTCTATAGTGAGTAGAGGGTCATACAACACCCTGTGGGGTGGCGGGAGGGCCAAGACACCAAAGCGGCCCCACAATGCTCAGAAAGAAGTGTCCGAGGGCCAGGCCTCATCAACCTCTTGTTAAACAGGCACAGACACGACTCCCATCACTACAGGGTGCTACAGGCTTACACCCACTCAATTCATTTAATTGGCTAATAACATGTCCACAAAGTACCGTTGGCTGAGGTTCGCAGAACAACCTACTAAAGACCTGCCCCACTCCTGCAAGCTTGCTTTCTGAATCCCCGGCCCAACCATCCAAAGGCAGAACTTACGCCTCGGATTTCTGGCTGTGCACCAACACCTCTCACGTGTCTGGGTGCACCTTGAGGGGAGGACTGTGAGCTCGGCCAACACCCAGAAAGTTCCAGCACACATTCACCACTCACTCCTGTGCCCACAGCTATAGGCACTTCATGGACACTGCTGTTGACACACACTTGGGGTAGGGGATGATGTCAGGCTCAGCTGTGAACTTTGATCTTGACCTCCCCATCAATCTCAAGAGCGTACCACCTTACTAAAGAGGAATAAAGTGATCAGAGCATTAAGTGGATAGATCCCTTGTGGACAGCTGGGGTTGATCAATAAACAGCAGATGCCCACCAGGTTCTACCTGTCTTGAGAACCTATCACAAAGGAGCTACTTTCTCAATCTTCAAAACAACCTTCCTCCTTAGGGGTGGAGTTAATTTCCCACTCTACCTCTCTAGTATCTCACGTGATAAGAGAACTGGCCCCACAGGGTTTCCCTAAGCTGAAATCTTTGGCAAAGCAATTTGCCAGGTCTTTCTCCTGTAG